ACCCCAAAACCCCAAAACCCCAAAACCCCTGCGACAAAAATTAATAGAAATAACATGAAATGATTATAAATTTAAATTATGAAAAATACTTCAACATCCTTAGTGGGCAAGCCTCCACAAGCTATTCTTCCAAAAAACGTAGCTCAAAAGAAAGGGTATCTAATTCAGAGTTATATTGATTACTTCATTTAGCAAGGTTTCTGAAATGCTTGAAGAGGAGACTAAGAAAATGGAGGAGAAGTTGGAATTAGTTAAGAAAATGATGGAGCTGGAGAAGGAGAAAAGGACTCAGGTCAAGAAAAACAAGGAAGGCACAGTCTGGAGGTCTGCCACCACTCAGAAGCAAATAAGTGGCTACTCTCAAATGGTAGTCTAGCAGCATAGAACAAATCAGCCTAATTTACCCCCTACTACAATGATCATGGGTAAAGAAAACTTCTAAAGCTCAAAGGGATTAAATGGATCCAGATTGGGCAGTGGGCAATCTCAAAGAGTGTCAGGGGGCACAGGTAATCAAATGACTGTTAATGCTAATACCAATAACACAGCCGCTGATAACTTGAACAAAGCTATCAATAAACAAAACCCAACTTAATCAAATGCTGGTTAGTACCCAGAGATAGAGTCGTTCTTAAATGAAGTTCAACTTCCCAAGTATAAAGATCAATTTATAGAAAATGGAATTGAAGACTTGGAGATCATTCTGGAGTTAGATGAGAAGCATCTCGAGTAGATGAATATTCCACTGGGACATAAGCTGAAAATAATGAAGAGAATTAAGGACCTAAGAAAAGACAGAGGTATGTCAGTTCCCGAAAGCAGATAAGGACAGAGGTAGAAAGTTGATGGAGGGATCTAAGCTAATCCTGCTGACAATGTGCATAAAGAAGTAAGGCCTCATTAAAGGTAAGATCTTGAAGCATTGCCTGAACCTGATTACTCTAATCTTCACACTTAAAAATAAGGCTCAACAAATACTGCAAGCAATGGATCATCATTACTTAATGGAAATTACAATGAGCAAGAGTCACATAAGCAATTCTTAGAAGCCCTAAATGCATGGAGGTCGGCTGGACCAACTAATCAATCTAAACCAGATAAAGTAAGATAATATCACAATTGTTTATAACTGACTATAGAAAGTAAGATTTAATGAGGGAGGTTAAATATAATAACAATAGACTGTTGATGGTGCTTAGCAGGAAAAGGAGATTAAGCCTGATTTGTCTATTAGAACTAGCAGTGCTTAATAAGCCGTAAGGAAAGAGAGCTGCTGGAACTGTTACAAACTATTCCCAGCTGAATAATCTCTTATGGATCAGGCTACAAAGAGAGTAAGTTACAATTTAAATTCATCAATCTCTCATTTCTAAATATAACTATTTTTAAATAGCACTTCTGCAGCCAAGGATGTTATGATAAAAACATGCAAGCCAACTAAATCCCTTGCTAATATGAGGAATGCAGTAAAAGATTTGTCAAGGTAGTGGGTACATTCGTGCATGGCAAATGGTTTTGCAGTGAGGCATGCGCAGAACTTGATCCAGAGACATAGAGACTAAGGGATATGCTAGAAAATGGTATTGAGTTTAACAATGATAAAGTAGAAGGTGAAGATGACGGGGAAGATTATGCTGATGATAATGACATTGATCTCTGATATTCATAAAATATATCTCATAACTGTTTATTAACTATTACTTGATTAACTAACTGGATTTAATATTAGGGGTTTTGGGGTTTTGGGGAGATCGGAAGAG